GGGGGGGGGGGGGGGGCTTGCTGGCTGTTTCAATAAACCCTCAGAGCCATGACTGAGCTAGGCTTGCAATACAAACACACCCCTTTCCTTCAGTTTATCTGAGAGACACATCTGGAGTCTATCAACTCCAGCAGCACCCCCTTTCTGTTCCCACTCTCCAGCACGCTTAACCCCTTCCTTACCCACTCCACCCCTTTGTGTCATGCAGTCTTATTAGACCATTGTTGCCTAACCAGGAGCGACTTGATGTGTGTGTGAAAACACACACTAACACAAATGTTCATTTTTCTGTTAACAAGACGTGTGACCTCTGCAGCTCCACTTCAGAGTGGTGGATTGTGACAGTCTGAACCCAATCATTCCCAGATTGTCCAAATTTAGAAGGCCTACTTGCCATTTTTATGACTATTTTTATACACTATAATATTCTCAACTCAAGTACGACCATTTGGACAAGAGTACTTTGTTTTCTCCAATTCTCCTGCCATTTTCTTCCCTCTGCTTAACCATCTCCGGCTCTGCTCCACTTCCCCTGCGTCAGGTGGTAAAGTTGTTTAAGTTGGACCTCTTCCTAACCCCAGCTGCTCGGAATGGCAGGAGCAATTTCAAGGTTGGCTCAAGAAAAACGATTTTACTGAAACCAAGTGGTCACTCTGAAAGTATCAAATCAAGCCCCTACAAAGTACTGCAGTACAGTCCGTTAACAAAATGTAGGTTTAATTGTGAAGACATATGTCCAAGTATACCTGCACACATCTATATTTCCTGTCCTTGAAATAACAAAAATGTGAATATTTACCAATATATTTTGCCCATATAATCCTTTGAAATGCCACAGGTTGAGTCATTTATCTGCAGGTAAGGATCTGCAGTGGAAGTGGTCTCCAGCTACAAGTACTTGGGTGTGCAGCTGAATGACAACCTCAGCTGGAGCAACAACACCACCAGCCTGATCAAGAAAGCTCATCAGAGACTCTACTTCCTCAGACGGCTGAGACGAGCTGGACTGGGAAGCTCAGTCCTCACCTCCTTCTACAGGTGTGCAGTGGAGAGCATCCTGTGCTCCAGCATCAACGTGTGGTATGGAGGCTGCACAGCTGCAGAAAGAAAAGCTTTGCAGAGAGTGGTGAAGGCTGCACAGAAGACTGTTGGAGTCAGCCTCCCCACCATCACAGACATCTACACCTCCAGATGTAGGAAGAGAGCCACCTGCATCATGAAGGACCCCACCCACCCAGCATACACACTTTTTGCCTCGTTCCCCTCAGGAAGGAGGTTGAGGAGCATTAAGTGTAGAACCACTAGACTGAGGAACAGCTTCTACCCTGAGGCTGTTAGACTCATGAATCTCTAACCAGAACAATCACTGTGAAAAATCACATCATGTTGCTGCTGATCTGTTTCATGTTGTTGTGTTCATGCGTGCTCATCTGCTCACACAGACTCATGTTTGTGCTGTTGTTTGATGTAATGTTTTTATGCTATTAGTGCTTAGTGTATTTTTAGTTGATGTTTTTTTTAGTTCATATCTTAGATGTGATCATTGTTTTTCTTATACATTTTATTGTTGGATGTAACTGGGACCCTGTGTACATAATTTTGTTCCACCATGTATACCACATGTGGTGTGTATGACAAATAAAGAACATTGAATTCTTGAATCCTTGAATCCTTATCTGCAGAGGTCATTTCTACGGTAATTCTTTTTAGAAAGTGTATCATAGTGCCAACACCTTGAACCTCTGAACAGTCCTAACCATAAACCTCAGTCCTGCCTCTCAGACCTGTCCACCACAGACAACCCGCTGCTACCTCATCCATCATCAGAACTGCCCCCCCCCCCCAATTACACCCCACTCCCTTTCTTCATGTTGGCCGAACAGACCTGATAATGAGCGCCCCTTGTGCCCTTCCCGCCTGTCCCGAGTGAGTCCCATAGTGCAATGGGGCCCAGTTGGACAAGAGCCAAATTGCTTCAGCCCTTTTCATTCATTATTCTCATTACCTTCCCTCAAATCAGTGCAGGACAGGCTGCTGGGATCTGTCCATGACTCATAAACTTCTGCAGCTGCCAGGGAGCGCTCTCGTCACGAAGGGTGTGCGCAGAGGTAGAGGTACTCAAATAGATATATGAGAGCAGTATCGAAGGTCCAGTGGTAGATTTTAATGGTATTAGCCATGCACAGAGCAGGCACCACCACAGAAGCAAGGTATGATTAAAGTTACTTGCTCATCCCAGGAGTTGTAATTGCTTTAAGTACTTGAATGTCCAAATGTAGCTCTTGGATGGCAGGCCTATTTAAAAGAGCTACAACAACACAGTAGTCCAATAAAAGGGCAAAACAAACAAGCCTAAGTCGCTCCTCTGTATTTGGGTGGTTTGGCAGGTTTTGAAGGGAACAGTCAATTTGAGGGGTTTTGTCCCAATGAAAGGGCTAACTGTGTAGATTGGGGCACTGTTTGGCCCATGAGGCCTGCAGGAGGGTGGACTGCCGAGGATCTGGATTTTCCAAACAACAGCAGAGCACACTACATTTAACTCTCAGCTAATGTCTGCTGTTAAGATGTGAGTGTGTGTCTGTGGAGAGAGTTACCAAGCCCGCTCTAAAGAAAGAAGGCTGCCCATACTAGGAAAGGAAACACACTCCGGAGTTCCTGTAGAATTCAAAACATGAGTGTGTGTGAAAAGTGTGTGCAGTTAGGGGTGTGTGTGTGTGTGTGTGTGTATGGGGGGGGGGGGGGGAATCAGACTTTGTTTATCCTTGTCACATCAGTGCAGAGATGCAGTGTAATTCCCTGATGTGTGTTTACTCAGCCCCAGTGGGCTGGCCTTTGATTACAGCACTGACCACATAATATGAGTAAGCGTTTACTACTACTGCAAATGACAAGCACATGTAGACGCCATACTGGAAACAATGAGAGGGACCTGAAGAGTCGTGACGGGCCGAGGAGACGAAACAAAGCTGAAGCGTCTCAGCGTGACGGCAAGGTGAACGCAAAGCTTCACCGAGAACTCGCCGCACAATATGTCGCATCAAACCTTTTCCACAACAGGCAGCGATTTTCCTATGAGCTCAGATGTAATTATAAGCTGTGCGGAGAGCTCAATTGAAGGTTGGAGATGTCAGAGGGAGTGAACAGACCTCCACCGCGGTGTGTCAGAGATCCAGCCGGGGCTGAAGCAGAGGAGTCAAATCAGTCCCGTGTGATTCATGTTATCTCCTGTTCCTAAACCAGACGCCTACATCTCCCACTGTGGACCACAACTGTGTCTGTTTTAGTTTTTCTACATGCTCGGACTGTTGCACTCAGATTTTTCATGAAACTCCACCCTGTAGCCCCTCATAGTTTGATCTGCACCAGGTACAGGGGCCAGGCTCAGGTTTCCTGACCCTTTGACCCTGCTGTGTTATGAGGAGACTTGTCCACTTACAAAAACAAACATCATCTCATTTTACATTAAATGCATCAAGCTTCATTCTTTATATGAAGTATATCAAGTTGCTGTCTTCCTGTCAACTGGGTTATCTCTGTCCTAGGTCTTACATCTTGGCCTTGGTACTACCCACCCCTGGTGTTCTCGTGGAAAAAAAAAAGAGCAAGGAAAAAGAAAACAGCAATTCCTGCAAAATTGGCTTTTGTTCTCGGCTGGCACGTCTGGTGTGAGCTCCTGTAGGTAGGAACTAACAAGCTAACGACTGCAGCAAATTGCCATATTTTTCTTTCTTTCAGCGTTTTCGAGAAGCTTGTTAGCTTCATGGGTGGCAGCTCCGAATGCCATGTGGTAGTAATATCCCTTCAGCATGCCCACAAACCTCCCCAACAAAACAAGAGCGGCTTCCAGACTGCAGAATCCACGTTGGAGCTGAATGTGTTTTACTGGGATACTCTGTTAGGAAATAAATGGTTTGATTGGAAGTAGAACAAGCATAAAAATACAAGACATGAGTATCCATGAAGGTAGCAGTGGTCTCTAAGCCCCAATGTGTGGCAGAAGTTTCATATGATCTGATATGTGTCTTGAGGGTGAAAACCTGCTTTGTAATCAAAGCTACAGGAGGGCAAAGAAAGTTTCCACTATGATTTTTTTGTCACCCGATGCAAATTATTATGGCCATTTCAGGAAGGAGCTTGTTTATCACTTGTCTCACACTCCGAGCTGTAAAGGAGGGCCAGACTGTCTGAAAGCTGCAGGAAAAACTGCCAACACAAAACCTCCTGCCAGAGATCTCTCTTATCTTGTCTCATTGGAGAGGGGTTTACCCAATAAAGAAGGACCAGAGCATAATTTTGTGAAGTTTTCAACATAACTCTGTGATATCCAGTCTGAGTGGATCATCCTCCCTGCTGGAAAGGAGCCCATCAGTGGATAAATTCGCTCAGAGCTGCTCAACATCTTCTCAGATCTCAGTGATACACTTTGTCGCTTGCCCAGGCCAGAAGCTTGGTGCATGACATAAATCTAGTGTCAACAATATGCATAACAGAAGTGCAACGTAAAAAAAAAAAGAAAAAGAAAGGATACTCACAGCTTCTCCAGAGAGTTGAGTCCAAGGAAGGATGCATTTTTAAGAACACGGATTTTGTTATGGCTCAGTATCCTGTAACAAACCAAAAACAATTGTTAGATATATTCTAACGAGTTCCATCAAAACTGCTACATTATCTATCCAGTGCATTTTCACTGCTGTGAGTTCTAATTTAATTGAACACATGGTGAAAAATAAATAAATAAGGGAAGCTTGTAAAAAAAGGTCCACTTGTTGCTGCAGTCATATGAGAGATTAGCCTGACCCAACACTTTTTTAAGATGTTTGCAATAAATGTTGGGACAAAAAAAGGGACATCGAGATAAGGTGGAAGACTGTGACCTTGATAATCATGGAGCATGCATTTTTACATCAAAAGGATGACTTTGCAGATTAAACAAATGGGGCACATTCCTTGTTAATTATCCCTTACTGGTGATTCATTTTGGCCTGTGTGGCTCTTATCAGACCAGAGGTCAGAGCGCTGTGGGACACTGAATCATGGTTTTGAATTGCTTTGTCCAACATGGCTGTGCAAAATGGACATTTTTAGTAATCGCTCTGCTCTGATGGTCCTCTCGTTGCCAAAATAATTTTCTGGAGACTTTTAGTGTTTTGTTTACAGGAGTTATTATTCAAATGGAATTTGTTGTCCTTGAATTTTTTGTTCTGACATGACCAAAACAATTTGTGCACAGAAAATGTCTGCTAAAATAAAAGTTAGCTCAGTCGCTGCTGCTCAAACCTCATAGACCCTTAGGTGGCATTTTCTGAGGGAAAATGTTTGGAAAAAAGCACTGACAGCCAAATCGTTCTTGTTTTCCTTTACACTCTTGTCTCACAAAATGCACCTAAAACTGTTAAACTCTCAACATTTATTTTATGATTCAAAACTTGAAAAATGAAGATCTAGCAATCCTTGAAGGAACGCGTATCGCCCACCACTTTTTCATGCCAGCGTTTTAGACTGAGATCATCTTATATCGACAAATGATAGGGTTGTAGCCAATGTGGTCAAAAATTTAAAGTAACAATATGCGCAGTCGTTTGAATATCCTTAGATGACACACCCTGGGTTGTGAATAATTCTTAGCTATGACCTCATCAAAATTCAGCTCATTATCTGTAAATTTGACCAAGTTATACAGAATTAATTTTGTGTTGGCTAACCTTGATGTCATCTTAAAATGGGTATACAACAAAAGTTAATTAGCAGTACACGTACATCGAATGATTGCTGTCTAAAAGTATTAATAGAATATGTTAGTAATACATGAACTATTTTGTTAACATGCTAACAGAATTTACACCAAAAATGAATGCATACGTTTAAGGTGTAGATTTTGTGCTGCATGTAGTGCTCAGAGTATGTGTTGTGAATTAGTCTCAGGTACAAAGTACTATTACACCAAAAATTAGCAAAATATCTGTAAAATTCATTGATGTCTAGCTCTGTTTGTGTTTTGGCTTTAGTAGCCTTCTTGAATTGAGCTGTTCCCAATATTAATTAGATGCACATCTAATCAATACTTTCTGAACGTTTCATTAAGAACCATCCAGTGGTTTAGGAGATGTGATAAATAGACAAAGTTGACTCGGATAGTTGAAGGCAATTTTTCTATAGTGACCTGTGCTGACAAAACTAGTTAAAATGAACACAGACTGCAGTGCAACAAGTGTAAAAAGTGATTTTTGTCATAAGATTTACATTAAATGAGTTCATAAAGACACAATTCAACAATCCTGGTATCTAAAAAAGCATATAATTTACCTTTAATTAAAAGTTTTATAACAGGTATATTATATACATATATTTATATACCGTATATATCCAGAAATTCTTTTTCTTATAAACATCATAATTTTCCTTGAAACTGACCATTTTTACTTTGCCCTGCTGCAGCAGTCCTGGAAATCCCTGCGTATAATGTTTGGCATTGTAACATTCTGGGATCCCTTTTTTAAATATATGGCTGACATTCATGACAACATCAGTCAAATCAACAATCAAAATATTTAGAGCAATACAAGGACCACTTAAAGAATGTGCTAAATAAATTTTTATTAAGACATAAAATAAAAAAAATAAAAATAAAAAACAAGTTTTTCAGGCTTTATCTTGTTGTAGCATCTCAAAAAAATATGTCCCCAAAATACACTGTAGAAATATAAGACAAACTTTCTGTAAAATGGCTCTTGTGAAAATGTAATAGACTAAATATGGGATAATATATATATATATATATATATATATATATGTATATATTTGAGTTTTGGAGTCTTTAAGGTTCAGTCTAGTTCTGGAAACACAAGTTTAAAAATATCTTTATTCTAAAAGTATTTATGTATTGATCCAAGAGGTTTAATTTAAACTTGCTTAAGTTTCATTCATGAATGTTTTCATCAATTTTTAAATAAAGTTTGCTTTTCAATTAAGAGTTTTGGGAGCCGGATGGAGATTATCCAAGGGCCACTTTTGGCCCTCAGGCTGTTCGTTGCCCACTTCAACCAGCAATCTTGCGAACAAAGTAAGTTTTTCTGCCAGTCCGGTGATAAATTGTCAAATTTGAACTAAACACATATCATTTTGAAGCTTTTGAGATAAGAATTTGAAAATAACCTTTCGATATTGCTAAAATCCTCGTTGTGACGCATTTATCCAGGACGGGTCACAGATCTTGGATCATCAGTTATCTCTCAAACTAAAAGTTGGGGATTGTTCTCGGCTACTTTCTCTCCAAACTGAAGCACAATATCTGTAAAAGTGACCGAGTTAGAGCCACTTCAGTGTTTCCTAAAGTCATTTGGCTGCAGCTGTTTTAATAACGTGGTGTTCAGTCATAACCAAAGATTTGCTCTATTTCAAACATTATTTTAAGGAGACATATTCCCTCATATTCTGGATCCAGAGTCCTGCCGTGGCAACAGGCAGCCATCATTAACGCCTCCTTCAGCTTCACATCGTCTCTGCTCCCACCACATGGAGCTTAATGGGCTGTCTGTGACATTAAGTACGTTCTTAATCGAGAGAACCCAGTTGTGTGCGCGCCTTTAAAAGTGGGAGCTGACTGTGAACAGTCTGCGAGATTTACAGATTCAGCAGCCGCCGTCCCCAGCACCCCACACCCCCTGTTTCCTGCCACATCAATAAAAACATTGCCTTCAGCTCGGTGCCTTCCACTTAATGGCCACATTTAATCGTTCAGTCTTGGTATGGTGGGACAAACTGGACTAACTTTTGTCTAGAAGTAAGTTTAAAACCAAACAACCAAACAGACAAAGAAAAAATTAAAAAGTCAGTATATATAAAAACATCTTCTGGTGCAGGTTTTATGAACTCTCTATTTTTGGACCAAAATTATGAAAGCCAGAGAAATTTATTTTTAAAACGAGCTGCAACCATGGGACTGGAACTGCTCCACCGTTAATGACTGTAATAATAAACCCAAGGTTGTGAGGCCATTTTATGATGCATTTAAGTCCTATTTTCCTCCTAATTCCATCTTTATTATGTTGCGCTATAAAGGGTATATTATCCAAGCATTGGAAACAGAGTCCAGTCCAAATCAGAGCCTCATTTCTGCAAAGGAAAAACAAAAGTTCAGAAACCCTCAGGGAGTTTCTTTTTGAATAAATCAATGATATGTGGACTGCATGTTAGACAAGTAGAGTCCTTTTGAGGCTTAGCCCGAGTTTGAACTCGTGACTCCTGAGCCTTGAAGGTCTTTCACTTGACTTTGGGCTCAGAACCTCTTCTATAAATGGATGCAGGCCTGAGATGAAAAGTTACAGAAGACCCGGAACTGCCTGAATAATTCAGCACAGACAGGAGAAAAGAAAGTCCCATCTGGCAACGACACAAGCGGTTTAACTGAACACAGACGGATTAGATGCTGATTGTTCCTTTTGACTGAGTTGTAATGATTATTTTGGAGCACGGTGCTAAAATAAATAAGTTAATTTATCGGCAAATATGGTAATGTGCACGTGCTACTTGACTCTCATCACTAAAATTTCTGAGTTGAGACATTTCCGCACAGAATTTTTCAATCAGTTTGATAATCTGTGTACAAGAACTTGAAAGCTGACTTGTACAAATAAACAAGGAGCGTAAAACCAAGTTCTTACAACGGACAACAAAAGGCACCGATTTCCAGGAACACAAAGGATCTACAGGACCTGGACCATCCTGCCGAGCCCCCAAAGCCTGATGTTTGGAGCACAGTTGTAGCCGAAACACATTGTTCTTTCATAAACAATAAAGAGAGTACCGCTCTGAGAATGAGAGACAGGCAGAACGTCTGTAAACAGACAGAAATAGTCGGCGTTCCCATAAGGATAAACAGGAAACCCAGCCAATTAGCTGTTTGTGCGGAGAGTGGTCTCGGAGGTCAGGGGTTGTAGAGAGAGCACTTCCGGGACAGCCATCAGACAGACGGAGCAGCGTCCGGACGTGAGGTGACAGCCGAGGTCGTTCGGAGAGCGTCTCAGTCTCTCTGCGGCACGTAAAGATCAACAGGGCTTCACAAGATGAGAGGATGAGCAGCTTCTCCATCAGGGAGGGACAAATATCTGAATCACAACCGACTGAACACGAAGAGGCGTCAAACGTAGAAACCGCATCACACGAATTCATCTCAGATCACATTAAAGGTGGTACGAGCGCTGCGTCAACGGTGTTCTCGTTCATTTAGCTCCTTCAGATCACAAGGGACTCTCAGAAATCAGATGAACTAATTGAATTCATCTAATGATGAAATAAAGAGCGACTGCCTGGCTCCAGTTCAGCTGGTTTATGTAATTCATTTACAGAAAGATCAAACAGCAGGAGGTCATCTGAAGAGAGACAGGTCCCACAGAAGAACAGACACTTGTTCTCATCGAGGCCAGAAAGGAAGAAGACACAAACACGAACATGGACAGAAAAAATTGGGCATCTTCTTTGCAAGGGAAAGTGACTGCATGCCACGTGTTTGTGTAGCTATAAACGTGCACAGATCAGCTCATATTTTATCATCATTCCAAAGCTTCTTTGCTTATCTTTACTGCGGCCGCCTCAATCTCGACCAACA